ATAGAAAATGTTGAGAAGCCCAAATTGCCCAAACTAGTTTGGGCTTTGAGAAAACAGTTTGGACCAGAAACCTTACTCCACATGAGCCAGCTCATGAGGAGCTTTAATCACATTAATGAACCAAACTCAGATTGCATGCTCACAATGGTATATCCATACTTTTGGAATAAACATTGGCAATAATCTTAGCCTAAAAATCTTAGCCTAAAGTTTTATTATTAAATTACTAAACCTGGAACATACTTTTCTATTTTTGGATGATAATATCAATGATTTTCACCACAATTACCCCTGCTTTTTTATATTTACAGTCAAAGCCCATTAAATTCATAGGTCTGGCACAGCAAATTTTATGAATTTATTGAATTGTTCCATTATCAAGAGCAGTGTTGGAAATTCAGGGTGCGGAGGGTGCGGTGCTAACCAAATTTGGCAACTATTTGCAAAAATCAGCTGATAATTTCCATATCTGGTTAGCACGCACTCTGAATTTCCAACACTGATCAAGAGAATATAAAAGGATAAGATTTTTAGAAAAAAATGAATGAGATTGGCTACTTATATAATTTAAAGAGTGTGATTTCATTCATATATGGTGACATATACAAAAGTCAGAGAGTTATGAATTATTGAATTATTCCAATTATCAAGATTTTGTTACTACTATAAACAAAGAGCATTTTGTTGAAGTTATTGGCTTTTTCATTAAGAATATAAATTGTTCTAATTCCAAATAAACTACGTTTTATATTGTGTTAAAATGTAGAATTTTCCAAATGTCTAAATAGCTACTGCAGTGAATGGATTTGGATTGGGCTAGAGATGTTAATTGATTAATTTTTTGTAATCAATAATCAATTATAATTGATTTTTGATTTGTAATCAATTTTTACATTGCAAATAGTAGTAGTATTAGCTTTATTTGTTTTATGCTTATGAGTTAACAACTTTTACATATTACAGTATTAATAAAATGAAAGAATCTAGGTCACATGCCCAAAACACGATTGGATCTCACTTCAATAAATTCCATTTTATTTACAACATAAATTTTAAAATTTTATTTTTTTATTATTCTCTGACGGGTAAAAAATTATCAACAAATTTTTTGTTCCGTTTCAAAAAAAGAATATGGTCAACAGACTGTGAGCTAAGTCTATTTAGTAACAAAGTAATTTGTTGTCCTGCATCAGAGAAAAGTCCTTCCAAAGGAACTGATGAAGGAGGAATTGCCAAATATTTGTTGGCTAAAATAGCAAGTATTGGATTTTTTTTTCATTATCGCACCACCATTTTAATGGTTCATTTTATTCAACAGGAAGCACTTGGGTATTTTCTTACATGACTCAAATTCATCTCTGTCTAATTCGGCTATTTCTCTAGTTGAGACTTCTAAATTAAAATTGTTTCAAATATTAATATACTACTACTATTATTATTATTATTATTTATTACTACTACTATTGTTGTTGTTGTTATTAGTGCTGCTATTATTATGCTTATAATGTTTAGAATGAAATATGTATATTAATTTGTATATCGTGTATGAATTTGTTCGTTAGGTTATGGCATTTAATTTTTAAAGCCAGACTTCTAAAATTAAAATTGCTTCAAATATTACTATAGTATTATCATTATTACTATTGCTATTATTATTGTTATTATTATTACTACTGTTAATTTATTTAACACTTGATTTTTTTCGATTTTTTCAATTAAATCGATAATCGATTGTGGAAAAATCGATTTTTGTATAATCAATTAACATCCCTATCATTGGGTATAACCTCTACTTGTATCATAATATAACTGCAGAATTTTCCCTACTGCTGTTCATAAAAGATCGCCAATTAAACTCCATGAATGCATAATAAAGTTGGCGAATGAATATATTTAATCTGCCATTTGACTTCAAGAGTTCAAATAATTACAGAGTTAATTTTGGCAACTGTTAAAGTTATTTATACCAACTATGAAAAATTAATTATAGCATTACAGATATAGCAAACAACTATAAACATAATCTCAAAAATGCGTCCTTTTATACAAATTTTTTCCCTTGGCTTACTATCAAACAAATCTCGTTCAAAGATTTATTAGGGAAAGACAGATTATAATCTCAACAGATTTTTTATTTTATTGGTTTATATTATCAACCTTTTCAAGATTACAATTTTAACAAGTATTTATTTAAAAATAAAAATTTAAATTACAGCAACAAAAACCGTATTTTTTTAAAAAACCATTAATATAAAAAAAATCTTTACAATTTAAAAAATCAAATATTATCTTCACCACTGCCATTATCAATAACTTTTCGATTTTCTTCGGTCAACTATGTCAACCAACATTTCCGATCTTCTCTTTGATTCGTCTGAGAGTATTGATACTGAAGTTAAGGTTGACGAGGTTAATGATGCTGGTTTTTTTTTTTGCGCATTTGTTGATCGAATTTTCTCCTTCTGGGGTCCTCTCCACAAACAATTCTCCTGCGACTGAGAATATTGCTGATAATTTGGTTGCAATGCGTCTACTATTTGATGTTGTATACATACATGGGCCATCAGTTTAAAATTTTTTCTATATTCTACAACATCATCCTTTTCATCAAAATAAAATCAGTGCCAAAACCTCCATCCTAATTTTTGAGCAGTTGATTCCAATTAAATTTTTAGGTGTTATATCAAATTCGTTGGATCGTATATAACTTCCTATTTGAGCAGCAATGTCTTCATGATTCCATAGGCTTTGTATCTTGTGATGTTTTCCTCTTTTTGAAGTAGGCACGTTTTGTTTCTGAGCCACTGTTTAGCCCAGGCTCTAATACATTTACTTTTATAATTTGTTTGCCCACCCTGGAGATGCTGTCACTATCTTTTTTTAATTATCGTGCAGTGCAGATCATCTAACCTTAATTCATCCTTTGAATATTCTTCGATTATATGAACAACTGCAAATTTTTTCAAGTGACCATTGTGAGCTTTTTTCATCTCTTTTACAATCTAACCTTTCCCGTACAATTTTTTTTCAAATATGCAAAATTTAAAGAAACGTGATACGACTTCTTAATTATTTTATCTATATACGAAAAATTCTAAACTTAATATTAAAACTTATTTCAGAAAAAAAATGGATAGAAAAAGACTTGAAGGCTTAAACGGCGAACAATTGATTCAAGAGGCAGCGAGATTAATAAGTGAAGAAGAGATAGAAGAAGCAGTTAAAATTTTCACTTATTTAACAGAAAGATTACCAGATGCTTATTTACCATTATTAAGTAAATGTACTTGGTATAAATGCATTCATATTTTATATATAGGAATATATATATATTGCAAGGAATGAAATTTTAATTGATAATCATTATTATTATTTAGTTTAATACAATTAGAAAGATATGAAGAGGCTTTAAAAGATGGTATATATGCATCTCATTACGTAATAATTATATTATAATATTTTATTCTCATCATATTATTATTGGATTTATTTAGGTGAAAAGTTATTAAAGTTGAAAAATATTCCAATTAATGAAGAATTGGCACCAGGAAATTCCACTTTACATTCAGTAGCATATATTAGAATGGCAAAATGTTACAAAGAACTTGGAAAGGTAATTGATTAATTCTTTCATTATTTAACAAATTGTTATTTATTATAAATCAACTTTTCATATGACTTTTTAATTATTTTGAATAACAAAAAGATAGAAGAAGCAGAAAAATTGATCAAGAAAAGAGTTGAATTAGAAAAAAAAGTATTGAAGCCGAAAGAAATTGAAAATAAATCTGATGAATTAGATGAACAGAAAGAGGGAAATTCTAACAATAGTAATTATTCATATAGAAAAGATTTTTCATCGTCATCATCTTCTTCATCTTCGTCCAAGTCTTCTTCGGGGATAAATTCAACAACAAATAATGATAATCAAGTTGAAAAATTAAGATTAGAAGGAAATGAATATTATAAACAAGAGAAATATAGAGAAAGTTGCGAGAAATATTTACAGGCATTAAAAATAAATTCAAATCATTTATTAAGTCATTCTAATTTAGCTTTAGTATTAACGAAACTTGGAAATTATGATGAAGCACTTAAGCATTCAGACAAATGTATACAGTTAGATTCTAAATGGGCAAAAGGATATTATCGTAAAGGTATTTTCTATATATCACAAACTATTTAATATAGCGTCATTAAAATTTAACATATTTATTTTAAATTTAAATTTCAGGAAACATATTATTTGAACAAAAGAAATTTGAGGAAGCAATAAAAAATTATCAGTTGGCTGAATCTTATGGTGGAGATAAAATTGACATTAATAAAAAAATAGAATTAATTAAAAAATTCAGCACAAAAAATAAATTTCAAAACAAAATTTTAAAAGTGTTTGATGTTAAAAATGTTAAAATAATTGTACTAATAATTCTAATTGGAATAATTTTATGGAAATTTAATGATGGAATTATATATTTATTTGGAATTTATTTTAATGATCTATGGTGAAGGTTATGTGGATTAGATTATTTATAATTTATTGGTCAATTAATTTTTTTTTTTTTATTGTAAAGTAGATCTGCGGATATTTTAATTTTAGAGAAATGAAAAATTAAATAAAAGATTATATAAAAAAAAATAAAAAAAAATAAAAAATAATAGTTTAATAGATTGATTTGTATTTTAGATGATTATTTAGTCTTATTATTAGTATTATTCTAAATTAAATAAATTAAAATAAATTAAAAATTATCAAATTAAATTAGGTTTTTTTTTAAAAAAATATACAAAATAAATAAATAAATAAATAATAATATATGTAAATAAGTATTGTTTTTTTTTGATAAAACATAATATACACGCAAACTAGTAATAGCGATTTATTATATTGTTACAACGTTTGGATCACCATTCTAAATCAAATAAATAAAAATAATTAATTAGAAATAAAATTTTTATTTTAATATTGTCAAAAATAAATTTTTTTTAAAAAAAATAACGCTTACGAATGGATGCCTCCAACCACATTGGAATTCATGTTTGTGATATATACGATCAGGACTCGTTGAAGTGTTATAACCCAAATGATACATCAACAAAGTTTTTGAAGTGACCAAAGTTTTTGAACATTCTTCGCATCCTTTGATTTCCCCTAACAAACAATTTTGTAATAATATATCTGGTGGTACGTCCAATCTATTCAACAACAAATCCGATGCTACTAAAGCTTTACGTGTTTTCATTATCAAACCACTAAAATTAATAACAATATATTAAATTAAATTAAAATTAAATATATTGTTTAATGATCCCCGAATTCCTATTCCAATGATATAATTTTATAACCCTATATCCTTCAAAATAAGTAAAATTTGATTTAATTACCTTCCACCAGTACCAACAAATATTCCACAATGCCTTGGTACTTGTACGTTGGCGTTATAAACAACAGTTAAGAATTCCTGCCATTTATCTTCACATAATGGAAAATCATCTTCAATCAAAGCAACATAAGTCGTTTTAAAATTTTCAGCAACTAAACGTAAAGCTTTCGAAACGTGAAGTCTTTGATTTATTTCCAACCCTTCTTCACGATGAAATTTTAAATAATTTTGAGCTTTGAAATTATTTGAATAGATTGCACGAGCCTTGTCAAACATAGTATGATTCGTGAAATGAGTATAAATGATCATTTGAGTTCTGGTGTAGAATGATTCCATTTCAGGTTTATTAGGAAAGTTACTCAGGTATGACTCAATTGTTCTTAATAAAAAGTCAGGATCACCACGTCTTGGAGCTGTCATTATTAAAAATGAAATCAAAAATCTATCTTCTGGATGAACTGTGTTTAATGTTGACTCTTCTACAAAATCCGGTCTTGTATATACAAAATTTGCTAATAATAAAAAAAATAGCGCTATTATTATTACTAAAAAACTTTTTTTAAATTCTTTTAATATTTTTTTTGATATTCTTTGTTTCTGGATAATTTTTTTACCAACCCTACTATTATTATTATTGTCATTAGGTTTGTTGTTATTATTATTACTATTATAATAACTGTTATAATTATTATGATAATGATTATGATTTTTATTATAATTATTATTACTATGGCTATTATTATAGTTATAACTATTATTATTAAAATTATAATTTAATAAATTATTATTATTATTATTAGAAATTAAAATCAAAGTTGACGAAAAATTATTTATTCCGTTTGTTAATGTTGGTGATGATGATGTATTGAAATGCTTTGGTAATAATAAATTTTGTGTATTTAAGTCGTTTTTGGATTTGCTGACGTTGGGATCATTGCTAAGAACATAATTTACTATATTGCTACAGAAATTATTATTATTACGATGGCTACTGTTATTAATACTACTAATATTATTTTTTAATTGCTTTATATGTATTATAACAGTTGTCAAGAATCCGGTGAGCAAACCAGTCATTGACCACCATAAAATATTTTTTTGTGTGTAATTTAACATACACATGAACAATTGTAATGTTATTTTTCTTAAAGTTATTTTTGTGTAATGTTTATCACCATAATAAAGAATATATTTATCTTCTGAGCTTAGAGATTGGAGAACTAATAAAGAAAATAAAAACGGCGCTAAACCTATAATTTCAATTTAGAAATAAAATATTAGGATGTGATGAAAACAATTATTTGGCAGTAAATTAAGATAAAATATAAATCATTATGTAATTGTTTGTTACCTTGATTACATTCATGTAACGAATCACTAAAAAATAAAATTGGAATTGCCCAACCAGTTGATCTTGAAAATATGAACCCAATAATCTGTCTTAATGTGGAAACACCTAATATCATAAATATAACAGTGTACAAGAATTTTTTAGTTCCTCCCAACATCGAAGTTAAAGATTCCTCAAATAATCCAAATGTCAACAAATTGGTTGAGGCCAATAAAATATTTGATAGCGATGATGGTGAAAACAGAAATGGTGAAAATATTAAATTTATAATTTCAAATTTATGGATGACAAATGAAGGCGCTGAACATCTTAACGATATTAAATTTGCCCAATTGAACAATGAAACTAGCATTGAAAATAATATGAAATATCTTGTCACTGTTGGTAAAGGCCATAAAATAAGTAATTTGTATTTTTTCCCAAGTTTCTTGTTATTGATGTTGTTGTAATTGTTTCCATTATTATTATGATCATTGTTTCCATTGTTTCCATTATTATGATTTCCAACAGGTAAATAAAGATGATAAGACACTGAGGAACGACGACGTTGTTGCGATTGTTTTTTATATGGACTAAAAGGTGTCGATATTAAAGTGGTTATGTAAAAAGGATTATTATTACTACTAGTATTAGTAGCAGTATCTTTCATTGTCTCTTTCTCTCTATATATATTTTAAATGTAAAATAAAATGTAACTAATTCTAATTCTAATTCTATATATAAATATAATATAAAATTTCGAAAAATAATTGATATGGTGTCTTAGAAATAATATATATATATAAATATTAAATATATAATTAGGGAATTTTTTTTTTAGGACGTGAAAGAGAAAAGGGAAAGAAAGGAGAAGAAGGCTATGAAGAAAAAAAGGAGAAGAAAAAATTCCCGGGGAGAAAGGAAGGGAAAAAAAAAAGAATGTGAACCACAAAGTTTTTTTTTTTTTGATATGAAGAGGGACAAGAACAAACTCGAGACAGTACAGTCCGACGATGCACAACAACATATTAAAAATTTTAAATCGGTGCGACGTTATTTACCTTTTTTGTCTATTAAAAATAATTTAATTATATATTATATTAAATTAAATATATATATATATATTAAATATTAATATATACAATAGTTATAATTTAAAGTTATAAAAGATAAGATGTGCTTGGGTACAAAACACAAAAATTATATGTTATATAATCATTCAAAATTTTCATTTTTTTCTGAAAATTCATTTTGAATTTGCATTGGTGGTGGCTGTTGCTGCTGCTGTTGCTGCTGCTGCTGTTGCTTTACTTCTTCGCATTCAATAAATTCATTTGATTTATTAACAACGTCATCCCAAAATTTTTGCAATACCTCTTTATCATTACAGAAATTTTGGAATTCTCTCAGTAAAGTATCAGGATTGGGTGCAATATTTGTCGAATTCGTATTTTTATTGATGGCAGTTGTTGAATGAGTTGTGAATAATCGATTATTTACCCATAGATATCCTTCACCAGGGTCACAAATTTGTATAAATGCCACTCCACTTTTATGAATAAACTGCGAGTATTCATAAGGAGTTTTATGATACGAATAAATTATCTCAATCTCGTCACTAAATCTCGAGTCAGCCTCCACATCCAATATGAATTTAAAATGTTTTATTAATTTTGTTTCAAAATACAAATAAGGATTGATGGTTGGGTGTAGTTGTTTACCAATTGATTCAAGTTTTGGTGGCTGTACTGACAATTTTATCAGAGTTGGTGACTGAAATGGATTGCTGTCTGTTAAACTCATTGCTTGTTCAACAGGTGCTTCAACCAATTTCAATCCATACTTATCTGCAGTCCTACCCCATTGTTGGAGCAATTCCTCTATTAATCTTGCTGTACATCCCAACCAATTTAATTGGAAATGATATCCATTATCAGGATTATGCAAAATATCATAATGCAATATTGCCGTCTCTCTTCTATCGCTTTTTTTATATGGATCAATGTCAATTTGCATTGATCTTGACATTTCAAAAGTTGGCTTGACTTTATCCAATAATGATGATGGATGTGTTGTTATTGCATCTTTATCTGTTGGTAAACTTGTATATTCTTCTTTCAATTGATAATAATAAAATCCGTCAAGGAATTTATGCCGTTTTTTACAATGTTCAAACAATCCTTTCTCTTGCAATATATTACCAAATGCTACAGCATTTTCTCTTGTCTCAATATCATGAAAATTTTTAATCAACCAATTAACAAACTCGTTACCAACAATGGCATTCGGATATGTTTTGAAATGCCATCGTCTATCCTTCACGATTCCGTTAACAGGATCCAACATTGCTTGTGCTATCAATGTCAAGCTACTATCTTTACTAAGGTGTTCCTCCACCTGATGGACTGACTGCCGTCTAAATGTTATGTCATCTAATGATTTAATATACACTGATGGATCCAGTGTCATGACTTTTAATAATGAAATGATTTCTGGCTTACTTCTTCTATTATTAATATTATTGCTATTGTTAGCATTAGTATTATTATTATTATTATTATATGGTTCTGTTTTTTCACTTGATGATGTCCATGTTGATCTTTTAAACATTTCCAAAAATTTAAAAATTCCCTGGACTCTTGTTTCCTCTTCATCAAGATTATCATTTGAATTAATTGATGGATTGTTTTCTAAAGGGATTAGAATAAATCTTGTCCTCCAAAACTTCAATGGCTCCAACAAATCATACTGATAACCACATACCAATTGATCCACATAATTCCATTTATAATCTATATTAGGATACCCAAACGTTACATTTCGATTCTCATAGAAATTTTGACATTTTGGCCAAACAACACACAAGTAAGGTATTGGACAGGCTTTGTAATGTATTTTCCTAACATATCTTTTAACCTCAACGAATGGGCCTGTTGGATCATATGTCAATTTATGCACTTGTCTGCCCATACTAAGATAATATGAATTTGACAGTTTTAATTGTGAATGATTCTCCTCGACTTGATTTCCAACTGTTGTATTTTTCCAATTCAATGATTTTGTAACATTATCTATATTAATACTGACAATCTCATCGATTACATTTTTTGATGTCAAATCACTATTAACATTATTATTAGAGTTGTTTGATAAACTTGCAAAAGAGGACACAATCAATTGATACCCCTGAGACAATCGTTGTGAAATCATTTCTTTCAATAATATTTTAGTTCTGGCTTCTTCAGAAATATTCTGGTCTTGTGTAAAGATTTCAGGATCATCAATTGAGATTGTATAAGTGAATTCATCGTAGGCATCTATTTCGCTAATTGGTGGAAAAAAATCAGTCATCAAGGGTAGGCAGGCTGGTGTACAAATAGATTGCCATTTTAATTTATTGATTGACAAAGTTTTTGGAAACACATGTTCCCATCTTCTCAAATATGAGCTGAAATTCGATAGTTTATTTTGATTTTTTGACGGATTACTTGGATTAATGGTGTTATGTTTATAAATTTGTCGCGTTGGTAATGTTTTACTGGGTGATTGTTTAATAAAATTTTTTCCCTTCTCACTTACACATGAACTTTTAGTTGATTCATGATGACTGCTGGTTGGTGAGGGTGAAAGCTCTCGGTGATGGGTATCTCTTTGTAAATATCTTGATGAAGATGTTGGTGATTTTATGGAAATTGGCCTGACTGTACTTGAAGTGATTACTGTAACATCGTCATCATCTGTTCTAATATCGTCGTGTGATGTTTGCGAATTGGATCTTATAATTTTATCTCGTTTCAAAGATACTTGCAAAGGATTGTAATTACTATTATTATTATTATTATTATCGAAATTGTTATCATTATTTGTTTCAGATAATGAACTGCCTGATAATTTTGATTTGAAAAACTGTGGAATTTGACGATTCAATTCTAAATGAGTAAAAGGCGCCATTATATGATCAAAACTTAATGTTTTTGGTAAGCTCCTTGATAGTTCATTACTATGACCTCTTGACGATGACGATCGAGTGGATATTAAATAATCATTTTGGGATTTTCGCGGATGTGAGAGATCCGGCGATTTACTTATATGACTTGTATAATCATTAGGGTGTAGTGAAGATGATGCTTTTAAATACATGTCATTTTCAATATTATCTTTTAATGGTTTATTCTTGGGTTTTAAGGTTAATTTTGCTTCATTTCTAGAGAAAATATTTTCATCATACGCAGAATAATCATATTCCAGATCATCATCGTCGTCGTCGTCTTTTCCTTCTTCTTCTTTATTTGTATTCTTGGCATTTTGTGAATTATTACCGTCAATATTTTCGATCAAGTATGGAATTAAGATTGATGATATTTCATGTTCCATAATTCCCATCATTTGTATTTCATACATTCTACATCTCGTAACAAACTTATCAGGTTTAAAGGGTTTATCCTGATTCCTGTGATAGAAACTACAATCAATCCAATTTGGTTTTTTATAATATGATTGATAAACATAATTTGGATCGTTATCATCATCATAATTTAATGGATCTCTTGATTCTAATTTAATAATGTCTTTAGATTGTTGCAATGATTTATTATTGTTGAAATTTAAATTATTGTTATTATGATTTAAATTTAAATTATAATTATTCTCATTATTACCATTACTCTTCACATTATCATTAATATTACCATTACCGTTACCGTTACCATACGCATTATTTACACCACCATATCCACCATGTCCATTATTCATATTTCCTATTGATTTCTGATCATTCAATTCAGATGATGGAATTTTTAATAGTTCTTTTGACTTGAATTTAAATAATGGAACAGTGTGTAAAGGTATTTTTGACAAGCATACTAAATCCATTCCAATACCGTTATCTATCATTCTTTCAGTTGTTATTCTCAATAATTTTTTATCTACGTCAAATCTGCCGCATCCTGGTGTAACTATTACTATTGATAAACCTGTTCTAAGCAAATCTCTGTCGACATAATGTTTATCAAAAGGATTCAATGCTAAATTAATAGCTTCCAAGATATTTCCTTCGAACGCATAAGAATTCTTGCCTAATAGTATTTGGTAATTTCCACCATCTGGACAATGTTTTTCCCTTAACAGAATATTCCGTTGATAACTTAACAATTCTTCTTTTAAAGAAACCAATGTAGTTGACCAATCAGATTTTGTTTCCCAATCCACTATAACTTTATAAAAATCTTTACAATGCCTAGACTCATAATCCTCTCTTAACGAAGGATCATCTTTCAGATTTGGATCATTTTCCAAATCATCATTATCATAAAAAATTCTGGAAAACAATACAATTGAAATAACATGATTTGTACCCAACAGTTTCCAATTATGAAATAATTCAGTGAAAAATCCATCAACAGCTTTCTCAAAAAACAGTTCACCATCATCATCAAATTCCCACATTTCCCTTGACATTTGAACAAATATAAAAAGTTTTGCAGATTCCGATCTAAAAATTGGTTTAGTATTATCTGTTACGTATCCACATGAAACCTATTTAATAGGAGAAAGGGTTTCAGCATAATTAAATTAAATATTTATTGTCTTATATACATTAATATACGCATTTGATTTTACCTGTTCACCTTTAACAAAAATTCTTTTTATTTGAGCACGTATGCACCCAGCAAACTCAATTCTTTTACCGACATAAACACAAGTGTCGTTTAAACTAAGTCTAAGTCTCCACATATCACTTCTACCTATATATTGATCTCGAAAAGTGAATTCAACATATTCAGCTTCGACTAATTCTGGATCAACCTTTATATTAATTGATTGGTCAATTGATTTAAAAAAATTTTTAATCAAAATAAAACCAAATCTCTTTTATAAACTAAAATCATACTCTACCTCTCTAACTATTACATTTGTTCTTGACTTAAAATTAAATAAGTCAGCAATAGACTTGATTACAGAAATATGAGATGTATTAGTATCTCTAGTTGTATTAACAATATCTTTATCAGAATTTATATTTGCCTTGACAATTAAATGTTTTGATAGATTGGGTGATTCATTTTGATTATGAATTTCAAATAATTGTCCATCCTTGATCCCAGTAAAAGAATCGGGATTTAGTACGATAAAATCACGTTTGTAGAATTCATCTTTATCTTTATCTTTATCTATTTTATCTTTATGTACCCATAAATTTAATTTTCTCGTTGAGTTGTTATTATTGTTGTAATGGTTGAATGATGATAAATCTACATTACTATTATTGTTGGTGATGTTATTACTATTATTACTATTATTGTTGTTAACATTATGATTTTGTATTGTAATATTTGATAAATATGTTGAAGCAGAAGAGTAACTACTGCTGGTGGTACTAGTTGAAATTAAATTTTCCATCAAGAATGAAATAAAATAATTGTAATATGTACAAGAAAAGTGATAAAATAAATAAAGATCTAAAATGAATTAATCACATTTGTAAACGTTACACTTGATCGCGCATTTTATATTTATAAGCAAGATTTTAATTTTTTTTAATAAAATAAAAATCATATTACATGTATAAAGCATACAATTTATAAAATATTTAATGGAATGCAAATTTATTTACAGGAAAATATTTACTAATCAATGATTCAGGATTTATGGACCAATAATAATTCTTGTCCATCCATTTGGTCTTGAAGCTAACAAAAATACATCATTAATACAATGATCATCATAAAAAATAATATTTAATAATAATTTAAGGATAAATACCATATTTTGAAGATGCTGTTTTATATGCAGTTATTTTTGCAAAATCTGGCATTTTATCTGATTAATAATCCAATAAAATTTAATTAGTTACAATTAAAGAAAAAAAAAATATATTGCTAATGTCTGATATCAAAAAAAAAACTTATAGTTTACCTCTGGAATAAGGATGATGTCTTTTAGGAGGAATAGGATTCTTTTTAGGTCGATCAGGTTTAATAAAATGCCATAAAATATCTTCATATAATTCATTTGGGAATATTGGTCTGTAAGGAGACACTTTATTATCAAATTCCTTGGTGGTCATATGAAAGAATCGAATAAAAGGTATGAAATTATGTAAAATCCTTTCCAAACTATCAAAATCTCTTTGTTTCCAATTTTCCATTCCATCAGGCAAGTTAGAATCTTGCATTGTTCCCCATATCACAATATTATGCCAAATTTCTGATTCTTTCATTTGGAGTTCGTCTCTTTTAATAATTTGTAAAAGGATTGATTCATCTAATTGATAAAATTTTGTTGATTCAAATAACATCCAAGGTTGTTTACATATTGCTAAAATACAAAATTCTTGAAGGCTTTTCCAATCATCATTTTGAAATGCTATGGTTAATGTCTCAATTGGATGTTCTTTTATCCATGATGAATGTTTTTTAACAAGATATGATTCAATAAATTCTGCTAATTTTGGAAGAATTAGTTCATTTGCTGCTGTTAAACAATCTAAAATACTCTGAACATTTTTATTTGAAAATTTTACAATTCCTGAATATAAATATCTACAAAAAAATAATTAATAGTTAATAAAATATATATTATAAAATAATAATTAATAAATAAATATAAATTATTTTTTACACTAAAATGATTTTAAATATTTTTGGAGAAATATTTGGTTTTGTAATTAAAATTTTTCCATCATGTTTTTTACTCCAATTTTCTGATAAAGCTGCTTTGAAATAAGGTGTTTGGGCACGAAGAACCAATGAATGAGCCTTGAAAGTTTTTACATCATCACCACTACCAACAGTAATAATAACATCACAGCTATCTTCTTCTTTAAGCAATTTGCCGTAATTCTCCAATACGTCTTCCCATAAAATGTTTGTCATTAGTATATTTTTTTTGTTTTATGGATTAGGTTTAAAAAAAAAAGATAATATGTCACGCAGCATCATAATGATTTTAATTATCATTATTTTTTTATATTCGGACTTAACTTTTATTATTTTTGCCTAAAGAATGTGACCCTTACTTATCACGCCGCCCCAGGTACACTAAAAACCCTTTTTACACAGGAGAGCGCCATAAACCACATGATTTTTGGGGTAATGAATGTTTCTAGTTTTTGAACCACGAGTCACGTGACATTGATAATGGCTTTACTGTTAAGTATTGGAATTTCTAAATGTTGTAATATTGACTTGACTAGAAGAAAAATGTGATTGTGTTGAAAAAAATTTTTTTTTTGAAAACCTGGCCAATGGCTTTATTAAACAGTCATATAACTTTCAAAATTATACAATGTGTGTATTTTAACTTTTATACACATTTATCCAGGTTATCTTAGTTGACTATTTAATCAACTATTTTAGTCACTGTCTAATCAACTATTTTGGCTGATTATTTTAGTTGAACAAAATAATGGCATAATATTTTTACCTGAAAGGTATCGCAAAGTGGTTTCAAATTCAAGATCCAATATCACAGAGCATCATATGAGAGTTGCGACAGATCTACAGTTTCCAATTTTTCTTTATCGTGCTCCACAAAAGCACATTGTCACCCGAGCTCGTTTATGATGCCTGAATTTACACAGTATTAGCACAAAATCAATGACATAATACAAAATTATATATACGCGCTTTAGTTACAGCACTTTTCAACACGTTTAAATTATTCTCTGAGGAATCAAACCTACAATAATTATGATGTGTTAACCTATTCAAGATTGAGAAGTGAATCATAATTACACATACCAAGGCTTTACTTCTATGAGAAAGCTCACATACTTGAAACTTATATATATATAAACGGTTGCTCAGATGCATAAATAGAAAAAGAAACATAACATCACTCGCATGCACTTGGTCGTTTGAAATTTTTACCATTGTTTTAACACTGATGGTTGTCGAGTTACAATGACATTTACCAAACATCCGTTACCGCAAAATCCCATTAATAATACACAAAACAAAGACTCATCATATCCACAACTAACAAGTTCAAAATCATTCTTTCATAAAAACTTACGCGATGGTCCAAATCTACTTGCAAACTTAGGAGATTTTCTCGTTGTTCGTTATCAAAGGGTGATGTTCTTGAGCAACAAATTGTTTAATGAGAATATGTGCAATGGAACCATTGGTGACAAAGATGATTGATGAGGAGGTGAAGTTTCCAACCCTGACAAGTATAAGCAAATAATTGCGAAAAATGAAACTTGCCATTCTGAAGTTAATGTCAAAAGCGCATCGAGGTGACGATTGTCTCTCCAGAACATGTTCGCTTTGACTTTTGTTGTCATCAACAATGTTTGTGCATTCATTAAAAAAATAAACTAGTTATTATAAACCAGTTATTAATACGAATTTGTAATTAGCGATGTTAAATTGCTCGTCAGTCCAGCTTAGGTTTGGCTCAATCCAGTTTTAGATTTCAAGCGGATTGAACTCTTTTAAAACAACAGCAACCAAATTCAAAATATTCTTAAACATGCTAAATTTACTCAAACAGGTTTAGCTCCAACATTTTTATCATTATACACAAATAAAACGCTGCATCATTTCAACAGTGTTTTTACAATTACTCCAAGAGTTTTTTCTTAAGCAATTTTCTTGAGCATCATACTCTGCTAATAAATAAATCAAACTATTTATGACGTAATATTTAAAGCATAATTGAAAGCATGTTTGAAGCGGATATTAAAAATATTAAATTGGAATTTGTGCTTAATATGCTCGACTAGCAATTAACATCTCCTCCAGTTGTAATAACCAAATGGGAGGTGATAAATCAATTAAATATAACCTCCACTCAACGTGTGATAATTATAATAATAATGAATGATAAATAGCCAAGGCTTCTAAATATTTTATCCCAGTTTTTAGTTTTTTGATACTCATCTAAAACCGCAAAAGCATGAATTTCCGTCGTGCACAGAGTAAAGTAGCCTGAATATTTTCGCAAATATGATATTAATATTTATATTTCATCTAACAATGAGGTTTCCAAAATAAAATTTTAGAGGTGTTTTACTACCTTTCAAAGGCGAGAATATAAATAAAATTTGTGCTTGACATCTGGATTATTATCACATAGAAAATCAAATATCCGTAGTCCTGGAATGATACTATATACAGATAAAACCCTTTCTATAGCATATTGCATGTCGTTTGGTTTATGAAATTAATAATAAATTATCATGTGACCTGGTCATTTCACAGGTCCATTCGTTTGTCAACACTGTTCTATAATATAATTATAATGGATATTCTGAAACTGTGACTACTAATGAAGAAAATCCCGGATCCTAATACAGAATCGTTCAATAAAAATCCTACTAAAGAACTCTTCAATTAATAGGACAAAATAATAATAATCAATTCAATAATAATACGAAATTCATAACTGTTAATATAACAATATAAACACAATATACAAAATAATATAATTGTTACATATGATAGTTACACCCACAACTGATTACGGAATTTATGGTTGTCGAATTTATAAACTTTTTAACCAAATGACATAATATTAACATTGATGCCGAAATTGACTTTTTTTTCTAAAAACAATTTAGACAACCATCTATATATATACAAGATAAACATAAACATTGTCTACCATTACTATATATGTAATGTCTTTATGATAATGTCTTTGATAAATAATACTGTAATAAACAATAATAAAGGAATTTCGTCAAACACCTCCTTATTTAATTATAGATTACAAAAAACCGAAGTAAACAAATAAGTTAACAATAACTTTATTTCCATATTAGTCCATGCATAATTACACTGAAAATTGTATATATAATGGACAGCTATTGTAAAAAAAAGATATTTTTTACTCTTCTTAATAATAATAAACCAAGGGTGCCATAGCCGTTCGAATCTTAGCTTTTGTTTATACACTATATTTTCCTTTTTCATTAAATAACAAGGGAGCTGGATTTCTCTTGATTATATATTTATTTTGTAAATAGATTTTATTTAAAATAGATTTTTTTTTGTAGATAGATAACCATTAATATTTCAATTATAATAATAATAATAATAATAATAATAATAATGAGAGGACAAAGCAGGAACTTTGATTTTATTATATTAGCTTTCGTTATTTTGCTGTTGCTTACAAATTTGAATACTAAAGTACAAGCAGGTAGGTCTTCACAACTATATAATTTTCAACTTTTTTTTGCATCAGAAATTTTTTTTTGACTAATTGTTTTTCCTTTGATATTTTAGCCAAGTTTATTCGCAATGAACAATCAAAAACCTGTTTACAATACACAAGCAATTCAACCCAAAGTTGCACATCTATAACTCTCACAAGCTGTCCTGTTGATCGATTTGGAAAAATTTCTGATTTAATAAAATGGAATCTTATTTCAACAGATCCATCTCAACCATTATCAAATTCAACTGAAATTTCAATTGGATCTTTAGATAACAAGTTGTGCCTTACCACACAATCTAATTCTGCTGTGCAAGCTTGTCCTTGTGATAATGGAGTTACCCAAAAATGGAAATTGAATAGTGATGATACTTTCACAAGCAGCTCAAATAATGGAAAGTGTTTAACAATGATAGGTGATAATCTAGGCCTAGATACTTGTCAAAATAACTCTACACCTATGTCATGGAAAACTTATAATGTTGCTCCCAGTAAGTATTTATATATATATATATATATATATATATATATGTATTCATTTATTTATTTGTAAAATTCATTCTTGATTCTAACAATATATTTTATCAATTATTAGATGCTGTTAACATTTATATTAATCCATTATTTAGTGGAAATGCTACTCAATTAGTTGTAGATCAATATACATCAAAAACTCTCCCAACAAGCATTTTCCAATCACCATTTTCACTTGAGATTCCACCAGGTTTTCTATTTGAGATTGATTCAGGAGAAAGCGATCCCATAATTTATGATTCTGATATTGCTCAAGCTAATCCTATAAAATTATTAACTTCCACAATAATTGTCAAGTTAAAGTCTGGAATGGTTATTTATGAACAACCTGCATATTTTGGTAATAGTGAGTTTTTTGAATCTGGTGCTTCAGAATCAACTACTCAAACAAAAGCTATCATGATTGGTTCGGTTTTGGTACCCGATGGTTTTCGTGGTGTTATATGGCAATCCTCTAATTTCTCTGGTACGAATCTTGGTTTATTTGAACCTGTTGCAAATTTTACCGGTGTATCCGTTGCTACTAATCAAGCACCAGCTGGCAGTTTCGATGTTTCTTCAGGTATTTTTGCTTATAAAAATTTATTTGGTTTTTTTATTTAAAAATTTTTATCTAATTTATTGTTTCTATTATTGTTATATATAGCATCATGTGCAAAAGAATGTGGTTCAGGTGGTTTTTGTAATGAGAAAAAAACATGTACTTGTAAGAATGGTTTCACTGGTGAAAGATGTGATCAATGTTTACCTGGTTTTTTTGGACCAAATTGTCAAGGTACTATTATTATTACTATTATTTAATTTCAAAGAAAATATATTTTTATTAAATTATATATATATATATATACACACACATACTATGTATGAAATAATAGAATGTCAAACTTCATGTGGTGACCCAACAAAATTTGTTTGTGAAGATGGTTTATTTGGTTCAGGAACTTGCAAATGTAAGGATGGATTCACTGGTGAAAAATGTGATCAATGTTTGCCAGGATTTTTCGGTGTGAATTGTCAAGGTATTAATTATTTATTGATAGATTGTTTTATTTCATGTATAAACATTTTTGTGAAAAATAAAAGTAATAATATTTTTTCAATAATATTGATTGACAATAATAGCATGTAATTGTGGAAATGGAGTTTGTGATGATAAAGGTGTCTGTTCATGTAATGCTGGATGGACCAATGATCCAAATGATCCCAAGAAACAATGCTCAACTTGTGATACTGGTTTTTTTGCTTCAGGAGTAGATTGCAAAGTTTGTTCATCAGGTTGTAATTCGTGTGAAGCACAAACTGGTAAATGTACAGTATGTAAACCATCACTTGCTTTGAGTGCCGATGATCCAACAAAATGTGTTCCTCAAGCAAGTAGTTGCACAGTCGGTCAATATTTTGACTCAGCATCACAACTATGTCAATCATGTAACACCCAATGTCAAACTTGTTATGGTCCTGGTCCCGGAGAGTGTTTAAAATGTCTATCACCTTTAAGTTATTTTAATGGTGGATGTTTTCCACAAAAACCTACTAATGATGGTAAATGTCAGTTAAATGTTGCTACGCAGCAAATATTTTTCATTGACAATTCGCAAAATGCATGTGAAGGTAAATACAATTGATCAATATGTGTATTCCTATCTACATATTATTATTGTTTTTATTTACATATAATTAATGTTTATCATTTATATTTTTTTTTATATAGCTTGTCCAAGTTCTTGTACTGATTGTTCTATACAAGGTTATACTCCACAAAGTCCAAAGGATAGTGTGACTTGTTCCAAATGCATACCAGGCTTTGTTTTAGACAATGGTAAATGTGTTAAAACTTGCTCTTCTAACAAATTTGCCGACAGTGATATGACATGTAAAGGTAACTTGTTAATTTATTTATTTATTTGAAGCAATAATTTAAATATACAAGTATAATTTATACATATATATATATATATTATTATTATATTTCACCTAGATTGTAATTCCGCATGCAAGACATGTAGTGGGCCTCTTGAAAATCAATGCTTATCATGTTCAAATTCAAATCTTTTTGCTATGAATGGATTATGTTCATCAACACCATGTCCATCGTCTTTTGTGTCTTTAAATACTACTTGTACAAAATGTCACTCTGATTGTGCAGAATGTTCAGGACCTGGTATCAATCAGTGTACAAAATGTCCATCAAACAGACCAGTGTTAACTAAAGATGGCCAATGTATAGAAGTTTGTCCAATGGGAACATATCTTGATAGTACTGGCAAATGTCAACAATGTAATGCAAAATGTTCATCATGTGTTGGTCCAAAAGCTAACCAGTGCCTTGGTTGTTCAAATCAGTCAAACGTATTGATTGGTGGTTCTTGTAATGGGTCATGTCCTTCTGGTACCAAATTAATAAAAAGTGAAAGACTATGCCAGAGTGAAGCAAATGATCAAGTAGTGCCACCTCAGCCAGCTACCAATAATAGTGATAATGATGTAGCGCAAGAAAAGAAGAGACTAGAATGGTGGCACATTTTAATAATAGTTCTTTCAGCAATAATATTCTTGATTGGAGCAGTGCTGTTGATCAGATATTTGGCCGTTAAGAAAAGGAAAAAACAAACTGATGAGTTCAGGGATGCATTGGATGAAAATCATGTAAAAAAACAAGTGAGAAATTTGTATGAGATTGCACCCAGGTTGTCAAAGAAGAAAAAAACCAAGGATAATAGAAGCTCCCAATTAACTGACCTTGAACCAGCATACTCATCAAATCCAAAAGAAGTTAAACAGGTTGATGTTGATGTTGATGGAAATATAAGAAAATATAACGCAACAACTTCTCAATTTTTTAACGCTACTTTACCACCATATGATCCAAAAGATGGTGAAACGTATTGGAAAAATAATGAATATAATTTAAAACGAGCACCGACAGCAACTGGTCAAACTGTTGCAAATGATATTTATTATAGTGGTGGTAATAGTGGTAATAGTGGAAGTTGGAATAGTCAAATTGATAGAAAAGATTCAAATTGGGGAGATAATTGGTTATGATAGTGATTAAAATTTTTAATAACTATCCCTTTTTACAATTTATTAACACCAACCAACAAATAATACACACATTCATTAATATTTAATTTTAATTTGTAATTTATATAAAAAATTTATTTTTTATTTAACAATTATTAATAAAGGCGTGAAAAATTCTAATTTGGAATATGGTTGGCTCGGTCTATTGCTGCGCCACACACACAAATTTCAAAAATCGCGATTTCATGATTCGTTCAAAATGCAATAAACTTTATTATTTTATAGTATTGTCGTTAATTTTGAGATGGAAAATTTTAATAAAATAAATTAGCAGTAATGAAAGTTCACTTTAAACTGTGAAATCATTTTTTTCGGAATAAAAATACACAAGTATTACAATTTGTTATTCGCAAGGAAAAAATTATGCATTCACTCACATAGAAATAACGCTTGATGTAGGAGAACTTAACTAATATTTTTACGCATTTATACAGCAACATTAAAACTAATACATAAAATGTGACTGAATCATATGATAAATTCTTAGATGTGCACTCAAACATGCTATAATATATTAGAAACGTCTAAACCAGAATGAACAGCTTCGATTACAATCCCGAGTCTTATTCACAAGTTTCCTAAACTTCGGAGTACACAGTGTGTCCTTTTTGAGTGTCACTTTGTTTGATAGCGGACTTGGAGCACAGAATTTAGCATATAAAATATTAAATGATTCGTAAAAGATCTCTTGTATTCGTAGAAGCGTTTCCATTTCATCAACAAAAGCTGCCATTTCTTTAATCGAAGCTGGAAACATCACTTGCCCAAAGTGAACCATAGTATATATACCATGAGTAAGATCCATAATGTAAAAATCAAGTTTAAAACCTAAAAGAAGCAAAAGTCGATTAAAAATAATTACGTGAGAAAAAGCATGCTGTATTAATCTCCTTACCGATACACTGAAAGCCTATTATTTTTATATCTGCGCCTTTGTCTATAGCTGAATCCAAAGAATCTTCCATGAAGATACCAAGGCGAATGAGGTCATTACAATTCTTATATACGTTGTTTTTCTGTGACGGAGGACTATGAATATAATAGATTTTGATTGTGGTTGATGGATGATGGAAACAATAAGATCCGGTTGTTTACTCCGGCCTTCAATTTTCCTTGCTTTGCTTTCGTCTAAAGCCGTATTAGGCCACTGAACGACATGCTGGTTTGGATTATTGAAGAATCCCCGCATAATTCGATCAAGATAATTTGTAATGTGTGTTGTTTCACTATGTTCACTTCTTATTTTCGACATGGGCAACATTCTTAGGCAATCAAAGATGACAAAACCTGCACTATCTCTCAGTGTTTTTTTATTAGCAAGTTGAGTACACAACCAATTCGTGGCATCGTCACTCAACTTATTTGCCATCTTAATAGCCTTTCTGAGCATTGCCTTGTGACATCAGGAAATTTCCCTGCCGTAATATTACGTCCATAAATTTTAATATGTAAATTTGTAATATTTGCATAAAAAATTATGTAATATTTACACTCAATGTAATAATTGCATAATTTTTGTATGCTTATTTGCATAATATTACAGGGCCCGCCATAAACTTATGTAAATAGTGTAATAATTACGTAAATCCGCGTCAGAAAAAATTTCCTGATGGCATGTAGGCTCTAATACAATTTGTTGAATTGGCATTAGTTCTTTGTAAATTTTATCAAGCAAAGGCGAGCCAAAAATATCAATCATGGCTGTTGAATGTGAATTAGGGGTTAGCATTAGAATTGAGAATAAAGACAATATTTCGTGAACATAAGTAAACCTCCATCTTTTGCAATCCTTATTGATTCACTCTGATATATCCGGAATAATTGAGAAACATTAGTCTTTCCTAAAAAAAATTCGTTGACCAAATCTTCATGCTCAAAGGATAGTTCATATGGAATGTCATCAATTGCTATAACGTCATCTGCTTCACTCACCCCTAAGGTTGTGGGCGAAACCTCCTTAGTAATTGCTGATACCATGGCAAAACTATATTAAATCTTATCAAAAATCCTGTTGAAACTATGCCGAAATGGTGAAACCTCAAAATGCAAAACTCTGCCAAAACTCTAATAAACAATTAATGTGTAACCTGCAGAAACCCTGCTGATTGATTTCTGGAGGAGTTTTGGCAAGCAACCTTACTCTCCTCTTCAAGGAACAGATTATCAGTGAACTTTGAGAGTTCTATTGGCAAATTTCTTAATTTTGGGCTCGGTGGTGATGGTGAGGTATATCTATCTGACTGGTGATTCTGTTTTCTTTTCTTCCTGACATTGTATTCAACATTTGCAAAGTCAGACAAAGCTTCAGATGCTTTATTATGTTCTTCTATGGTCTCATTCAATACATTTCTAGATCTTTCATTCTACATGAAACAAATGTTTATTTGCATTTAGTGATAACATTAAATTTATGAGTTTGAAAGTAAACCTTACCATAAGTAAATGTTTATCTGCTTATTGTATGAGAAATAAAAAGAAAGAGACTTGGAATTAAGCTTAATCTTAAATGTGGATAAAGATTGAATACCAACAATTCTTTTTGCCTCTATGTCTCTAATCCTTGCAGAAACCTCGCATCTTTTATGTTCGCATTTCTAACCCAAAAATCATTGATATACCCGCCAGTCTTTACACCTTCCTACAACAATTAAGTTTTATTTTATACCAACATAAGCCCACACCATAATAATCAGGCAAAACTTTTACACAGTGAGTCTTGGTATAGCAGACCTCAGTATAGCAGATTTGGGGGTTTAGCAGATAAATTTTCAAAACCAAATTTTTCTATAATTATTTTATCTCAGTTTAACAGATTTAATGGATTTTTCATATTAATATATCCAAATGCTATTTGAAATACAGTAAAAAGGGGCCATATTTGACCAGTGTTCACCTAATGCAACTTCTATATTAAGCGTGGACCCACAATAAATTGCCCATTCATTTTCTTTAGATTCAGAAGAAGAAAGAGAGGCATCAAGCGTTTGTTGTTGCTTATTTTCATGCAGATTTTCCTTAGCTTTATGTGTTTTGCTGGACATCAACCGTTGATTTTCGTACCCAAATTAACAAATTACAAAATAAAATTCCATTATCAATGCGAAATTCACCAGGATTTTCTTCTACTCTAGTATTGATTGTAATTGTTGTCCTTGTACCTTTTCTTCTTTTATTATTCATTATAAAAAACCTAATCTTATTTTTATATTATTTGCAGTATTCTGCAGTGGATTATTATTATAATAATTTCTGTTTTTATTCATGATTTCTGCACTATGCAGAAAATCATTGTCCCTGCATCGGTGTAATTTTAATAAATGATCAATACAATTGACTAATATGGTGAATTAAACAATGAATGGAAGTAATTTCAATATATATTATAATTATAATAAAAATAACATTATAAAATCATATGATAATGATTCTCCCATTATAATGACGATCTTGTTATACTGACTTTTTTTTGCTTGTCGTTATAACAGGAGTGACTTGTATATTATATATAAAATCAGAGTCCTATAAAACATCCAAAATGGAATGATTATGGAATTACAATGCTTTATAGTATTATCTTAGGTTTAGACATCATCATTCATTGTAAAGGACTTCTACATCATGGTCTTCACAGTGGTAATCTTTTACATTTTTCTATTTATGATAATTGTAGATTTAAGGTTATTAGGTTTAGTTGATTGAGAATTATTAAATAAAAATGGTATATAATATGAAGAGCACTGTCATATGTTGCACCATAGGTTTTAAATGGGAACCTTATATATACACAAAAATCTGACATCCATACGTAACTTTGGGATTTTACTGTCATAGATATCATCAACAGGTCAATGACCATTCAAAGATCAGTCACATGATCATGCACTTGCAATCAGGTCTGAGGCCTAATTTTTTGGATAATACTCCCAAAATATTATATTTGGAATGCACAAATGGTGATCCTGGAAAAAAGACTAACAGCAGAATGATGATGAAATTCTGAACCTAATTATTCTGAAGAACAGCTTGGATAAATTAAGAATGATGAGGATAATATTTGAAAAAGCAGGTAAAAATCCTTCAAACAATTACAACAACTGTTCATCCAAATGCAAGCAGATTATTGAGTTTTACAATTTTCCTCAGCCTGTTAATTCATAATCATTGGTAATTGTTATTTAATTACTTGTTTAATATTAAACTTGATATTAATGATATTTCTATTTATCAATGTTTTATAGATTCTCTTCAAATGAACTCAATTATATAAGATGAATAAATTTTATTCGTCTGGTTATCGGAGTTTTAACATTAGTCTTTTTATTATCAATATAAGAAAGTATCTTGTTATTCTTTTTGTTATTATTTATTTATTATTTTATTATGAAAAAAATGCAAATTTTGGATGTAATATTATTTAATAACAAATTTTTTTCTAAATAATATCTTATATGTATATATGTGTGTGTATTATCAACTAGAAAGGAAAACAGCATTCACTCACTATCATACTGCCATGTTAATTCGTGATCCATCAATGAAGGAAAGGATCTACATAGTAAAATTCCGGGATAAGCATCATAGTAAAATCAATT